GGTTGCTGTGCCATAATTAGCATCTGGACTTGAGCAGGTCACAAAAATACTAGATTCTGAGTCTCACATAGTATGGGGTAAGATTTCTGGAGAACAAGTTGAGTACAGTTTGCATGTAGGAGGTAAGTGAATTGTGGCCAGAGAGAGGACTACAGTATATTGTTTTCAAAGGTGTCCATGACAATCCCTGTAGCATCCATTTTGAAATGTGACTTTGCCCTCCATTTCACCAGGAAGTGGAAGTCCAGTTCTCCTCTCCCTCAGTCTGGGTTGGTCCTATGACTTGTTCTGACCAACAGAACACTATGTGACTACTGGGCCTGGGAATTAAGTGGCTTTGCAGCTCCCATTTTGGGATCCTCCTGGTAGCCAGATACCATGAAAAAGTATGGTTATCTTGCTGGAAAGACAGAGGATTAGCTAGATCTGTTCTTTTAGCCATCCTTGCTACAGTGTCAGGCACATGAGTAGAGATATCTCGAATACTCCAGGTCCAGATGGGTCACTGCAGCTGACCCCATATAGACCTAGACACACTGTACCTGATAAGCCCAGCTCCAATTGCAGACCTGTGGGACATAAGTGGTCATTATTGTGTTTTTAAGCCACTAAATTCTGGGGTGGCTAGTTACTTAACAGTGAATAACTAGAATGTAGCTTGATTGGTCAATTATTCCAAAACAGTTGAAGTAGCTGGATAGGATTATATGATCATGCAGTACAACTGTAAGCGACAATGACATCTGAAGGAGAAGGCACAGAAAGAACTGAGTGGTCACAGTGCTAGTCATGGCTTCTTCTTTACTTGCATATGTGAGCTTATGCAAGTCATGCAACCTCTGGGAACCACCTTTATGAAACAGAGACTGTTTTGAGGACTGTATCAAAGAATCAACAAAAAATCCTGTTTAAAGACTTTTAAGTATTATTCATAAGGAATGTGGTCTACCACATTCTTTCGAGGCACATTAGACAGTATCTTCCTACTTAAGCTAACTGCTGTTCTGTTTATTCTTTTCCCATTGACAAACGCTGTTAATCAGCTTCTCTTTAAGGAAAAAATCCAAGTAGTTTTAAATTTCCTAAATGAAAAACAGTGCAGAAAGACACTGAATATTGGTAAAGAAATGGCAAAATGAATATTGTAACAGGCATTTTGTGTCTACAAATGTGATTTCTAGTTTATTTTAACAGCTATCCTAAAACCCTACGGTACAGTTAATAGTATTATATGCTTTCTGTCAAAAATAAGAAAATATCCTCAAACACAATTTCTAATTTATAAGCTTGTGACAAGTTCAAGCTGCTGAGAAATTGGACTTGAAAGTATGTCTTAGAATGATAGAGGACCACTATTAACACTATCATAATTGTATACCTATTGCATCAAATTTGACATTTCAGTCTAATATATTTTGTTGAGAGAGTGTTACCATTTTATGGCTTCCTAGTGAAATCAAATCCAACCCAGACGTTTTCACTTTTCTAATATAATTCACTGCAAGGTTTTAAAGCTGCCATCTCTTTTCTTCCCTTTTTTCAAAAGATTGATGCCTGGGCATTCGTTAATTCCATGAGAGCTCATAATGGGTCACTGAGTCAGTGGTGAGCACCTCCATTAACTGCATTAATTTACACTATGTCACCTTAATGAGATTTTGTCACAGTTACCTTTTTTGACATCTACATAGCTATTCAAAAAGTAATGTAACAACTTTTGAAGGCATTAAGGAAAATTAGGGTAAGAACTTTGGTAAGTTGGATGTCACTGTAGCAGGACTATGCTAAGGGAGAGAAATTTAAACAAACATAAAAACTAACTGGTGTGTCTCAACTCCAGAGACCCCTCTCCTGAGAGGTCACTTCAGCAACAGTCTTTCTTCCCCAGCTTGCCTTCATTAGCACAGGAAAAGACTGACATTAATAGAGAGAGACAGAATAAAACCATCTACTGCATTCCAGCTCTCTCCTATAGGATTATCTACATTAGCAGATATTGCAGACATACTTTTCTTCTCTGGAAATGAAACTCATTTTCTTCAAAATATACTGAATGCTGTACTACTAGTTTTGGGATAAAAAATTAAAAGTTTAGGTTTTAACACACAGCAAAATAATTAATATTCTTAGTAACATATTCTTCCCTAAGTCAGTAATTATTTTACTGTACACTTTTAGTCAATATGTATAATCATGGATTCAGAAAAAATTCAAGTTACTACTAGTTATTAACAAAAATCTTATCTTCTAATATTTGTGTCATAAGGACCCAGATTCTGATGCTATATAGGAAAAGGTGGATATATTTGGTTGGCCACACACATAGACACTCTTTCTCCCCCACTCTCCTACCACATCTCTCCCTCTCCCTCTCCCTCTCCCTCTCTCTCTCTCTCTCTCTCTCACACACACACACACACACACACACACACACACACACGGAATATAAAGCTAAAAGACTGAGAAAATCACACTTGCAATGAAACTTTATGCAGTTTCAAATCATTAGGGAAAAGACACAAGACCCAAATGAAAAGTAGACCCCCCCAAAATGTTACAGGTCAATAAATACACACACAAAAATATGTTGAACAGTGCTCAAAGAAATGCAAACCAAAACAAAGACAACTCCATTTTTCACTCATCAGATCCACTGCTTATTACAATAGTCATGATATGGCAATGGGGAAGGAGGCACCTTGCCCACTGCTGTAGGCAGGGAATTATCTTTGGGGATGATGATTTGGCAATATTTTTTTAAGTTAAAAGTGCATGTAGCCTTTGTGCTACCAGTCCCATTAACAGGAGTTATCCTTTACCTATACAACACACAGCCCATTCACAGGCTAATACAAGGATGCTCCTGCAGCCTTGGGGTTAACAGTGGCAGAAACACAAATCTCCACCAACAGGAGATTGCATAAACAAATTATTGTATGTTGTGGAGCATGCAGCCTCTAAGAGGGAAAGCACTGGTATACACAGCATGATAGTCAAGATATATTATCATATAATATGAGAGGTTCAGGGGTGGTTGGCAGGAGAGAATTGAAAATGAGAGCAATCTGTGTAATGTCAAGCTGGGGAAATGAGCTCCTTATGAACCAATTAAGTCTGAGTGGGGCGGGGAAGTACATGTTTGCTCCGTACAGCTGTCTGAGAATGAAAAACAAGAAACCTCCCAAGTTAGTGATAGCCACATTGGTCTTTTCCTTGATGATGTGACTCCAGGAGCCTAGGTAGCACAATTAGCAACAAAATGTGAATGTTATGAAATGGTTCTGAGCAGGAAAACTGCTGCAAGAATTGAAAGGAAAAAGCCTGGCACAGGGTGTTGGTTACCAGAGACTGAAATGTACTTTGTTGAGGTATCTGGTGGTCTAAAGCATTGATAAGAGTCTCTGAATAGAAAGTAAAGTTTAAAATTGTATTTACATATATAAGCAGAATGACTGACCCAGTATGTGTGTGAGAATGTGAGGATGGATCTTTGAATTAAGCTGAAAAGCCAATTTTCTTTCTTGTGATGATGTCAAGTAACAGAGAACAGGCATGTTCACTTGACACAATAAGGCTATAGCTCTGACTTAAGATATAAATAATCATAAATATGGTAGGAAGCCTTTAATTATAGATAAGAATATTTAATTCACAAAGTATTTCAGTGCTTTTGAAAATGTGTTAATTTGAGATTCTATTGAAAGCCTATGGACTTACATTTTCTGTATTTCTCAAAGTATTACTAAAAAGAAATAGACTCCTTCCTTGATTTTACTATAAATCAGTTTAAATGATGGCTTATAGATATTTTACAGTTTAATTCCTCAGAAAAGTTATGATTGTTAGAAGAAAAGTGTGGGCCTTCAGAGTTTAATGTAGAAGAGTTACAGGTTAAATTCTCTTATTTTTTCTATATGTGAATAAGTTATATATATAAATTAATATTCACTTATGTAAAGTTGAGAGCAACAAATAAAACATGGATATGCTATGCTCTATTTGGTTCCATTTTCTTTTTTTGCTTTGGAAAAGATAAACAAAAGTTTGAATTCATGCAATTTTCTTTTTAGTTTAGTAACACTATAATTATCTTGTATAAATGTTTTCACTAGATAAGCACATATATGTAAATGAAAAATTTGACTTTCACTCACTGTCTTTTATTGGATTAAGACCATAGATGGAATGGTGGCATAATATTTTTATATTGGGTAACAGCAATGAGAAAAAATTTGGCATAATGACAAAGGGTTTTAAATAAGGAATTTTCCTTTACCAGTTCAATAAGCTGATCGTGTAATCTTATTATCAGGGAAAAAAATGAGAAAATGCATTTTTCTCATGCATTCAACATATTTTATTGTTTCAAGTACAATCTTTTCCTTTTCTTAAAACAGGAGCTCATATAAATGAATAACAAATATTTGTGTTTAACAACAGTGAAGTAGTACCAACTGTAAAATTACTCTGCTCTCACTGTTCCTGGATATTGTGTATGTGCTGGTTTAATCTAATGTGTATTGTTGCATAGTATCCCCAGGCACAGTCGAGTAAAAGCTAAGGCTGTACAGAAAAGCCTACATTTTAAATGGGTCTTGTCATTAATTCTTTATTAATTGCCCCAGGCTACACAAACCAAAGCTGGGCAAGCTACAACAATATGACACATTAAGGTCAAATCCAATTCCCGCTGTGTTTTATGGAATAGACCAAATATTGAGTGAACAGCAGGAAAGGCAATTTGTAGGATTTTCTTTCCATCTCCTGATTATTCCATCTAAATTAGATAGGAATTTCTTGAAACAACGAAAACACTTCAACTGACTAATATAAAAAAAATCCTGAAATACTTTTTATGGTGCTCAACATTATTTCCTTTATGTAATTTTAATACAATTGAACAAGCTGCAATATAAAATGTCATATATCCGCATAATGAAAAAATTTAAATTTCTACAAAATTTGGAATTCAATTAATATTAACAAATAAAAGAGCCTACCTTTACGTCAGAAGTATCTCTCTGACTAGTTCTCCAAGACCTGGTAATTGATGAGAAGGTTCGATCTGGATGGTCAAATTTTCCTTCATTTGCATTGAGGAAGAAGGTTGTGAAAGGTTCCTAAAGCAAAAAAACAGAATCATGAATGTGACCATTTGAAACCCAGCAGTCCCCATACCTTTGTACGAATATCTTTGAGACCCTCCTGAAGTGGAAAAAGCATAGAGCCCTAGAAAAATGCCAGCACTAAGGTGTCAGTGACACAGGTCTGGGTGTGACTGGGACATCTTGGCACCTGTGCTTTGCAACTTTGGCAAGTTCTTGGGCTTCTTGGGCTTGTTTTTTGATCTATAAAGTAATGGGGTTCTAGAGTTCTATAATCTTATGATGAATGATTTTGCATGACACTCACAACTCAGTTTTGTTTCTAATAATTAAGGCCCCTACATACTAACACTGCAATAAGAAAAGTCATTCTGACATTGTTCATTGAGGTGTGGAATTCGGTGGGCAGTGTCCATCTGAAATTACTGGGAAAGGCTACTCAAGAGTTCCATGCTGTGGTCTGATGATCTTTTAAAAAAATGCAAACTCCTGCTTTGTATCTTTAACAGCTCTGGGGGGCTCTAAGGAGAAAGTCTAAATATTTAATTTGTCTTACGAGAAATGGAATGACCTAGAATCTCTTAAATCTTATCTCTCACCACTCCCGTCCATATGTTCCAAGGTCTCATCAAGCTAGTCCTTTGTGTGTAACATTTTCTCTGCCAGGTGTAAACATCCCTTTCCCTCATGTTTCTATCTTTTTATCTTGTAAATTTCAGCCAAGATGCCACTTTCCCCTGAAAGACTGTGGATTTACCAAGATTCTCCTATATGCTCACAGCAGACTGTATTTCCTCAAGCAGCACTGAACATTTATCATTGTGTTATACTTGACAACTAACTTGTCTCCATACCCAGCAATGAGAGAGTTCTGTGTCTATCTTAGTTGCTGTTTTCTCCAGTACTAAGCATAGCTCCTGGTACACAGAAGTTGTTCATACATAATCTGTCGAATAAAGGAATGAAACAAAGTGCAAATGAGACTGGAAAAACCCTAGTCCTTGTATTTTGTGACTGTTACCTTTGGTTAATAGTGTCTGTCATCCCGGAAGTCTTTCCACAGCAGGAAACCTTAACATAACATCCTAATGCATTTAATTTTAATGCTTGTTCTGTAGTCTTTATGTTGAGAGGGAAGTATTGGGGTGTTTTTGTTTGTTTGTTTTTGGCAGGACTAAAATTTGAACTCAGGGCCTTGCACTTGTTAGGCAAGTGCTCTACTGCTTGAGTCATGTCCCTGGGCCATTTTGCTCTAGTTTACTTTTCAGATAGGGTCTTGCACTTTTGCCTGGGCAGGTCTCAGACCCCTATTCTCTTATCTCGAGATTCCCATATAGAGTTACACAACCCAGCACTACCATGCCTGGCCCTGGAGGCATTGTTTTTGATGTCATTAAGTTTCCTTTGACTTCAAAAGGACTAAGTAATATTCATTCTTTCTAAGGATTTCTTAGTTACTTACAAGTATACCAAAGGTAAATACATATTTCCTTTGGTATGCTTTAATTCTCTCTTAAGGTCAGATAAATGATATGTCATTTCCAAGTTCAATAATGCTAAGAAATATACATGATATTTTCTTAAACATTTGTCTTTTCTCTTTAATATGTAATTTCTTTTCATTCCTTTGAGTGCATTAAACATTACTTTGCCCTTCTAAATTCCCTTCCTTGCCCCTAACCTTAAAGGTTGGCTACTGGCAATGACTACAAATATTCATCCTTCTCAATATCATCCTAAAAGTTAGTGTGGCTAGGTGCCACTAATTTTATCGTTATAATGTATTTTACACATATAATGTAAAAATTCATGTTTAGTACTGAATGACATAAATTAAGATGAAAGAGACAAGATTAAGAATACCATAGCAGCTGGGCACCAGTGGCTCATGCCTGTAATCCTAGCTATTCAGGAGGCAAAGATCAGGAGGATAGCCATTTGAAGCCAGTCCAGGCAAATAGTTCGAGAGACTCCCATCTCGAAAAAACTCATCACTAAAAAGAACTGGTGAAGTGGCTGAAGGTGTAGGCCCTAAGTTCAAACCAGAGTATGGAAAAAAAAAAAAAAGAAAGAATACTATAATAATATACCTGAAAGGGCATTATTAATTCACCTGAAAATCAGATATGCACCTAAGAAGCCCATGTTGCTGTTTAAGATTTGAAGTGATAGGAGAGATAAACAGATGACACAAAATTAGGTTAGGAATGAAAATTTCATGGGACATCTTTCATTAATTAATTTGCTTTATAAATTTTCAATTCACTACTGAAAATCAGGTAGTGAATACAATATATATGGTTACTAAATTAACCAACATTAATATAAATATTCTAAAAGTACATGATAATTGAGTGAAATATGACAGATACAAGTTTGGATTTTGGTGGAACTATTTCTCTATCTTGGGAAAATTATTTTACCATAAGTAATTGTGTCAAGTACTGTGTCTCTCTTCATCTATGTAAACTGGGACTGACAATACCTTGGGGATAATTATGGGAATTAGATAAGAGTAAATTAAGCTTTAAGATTAAAGCTTGATGTATTTTACCTGACACAGAGCTATAAAATGACTACCAGCATTTTTCACTGTGCCAAGTATTTATTGCTGGACTCCCCACCAGACTGCCAGTTCACTGGACTCCCTGACTAGATATTTAGTTCCTTAGGTCTTACTCATTTCTGTATTTCAGGATTAAGCTTATAGTTAGTGTTTAAAATGTCTGTTGAACATACCTAACACAGGGTTATACTTGAGAGATGGGGACATGTGTGGGTGGGGGAATAAGATAATAGCTTTTCTTTTCAGTTGTTAAGCACCAGAAGTTTGACCAAAAAGTTATAATCTTCAGAATTCAGTTCTTTAGTATTCTAGGTTGCAAGACATTTATTTTTTTCTCTGTAGGTAGTAGGCAGAGATTGATTTAGAGGATTAGACTATGTCTACATTTTTTGACCTATTAAACAGAGGTAAGTGATGACTCATTTATACATGCAAAGGCTTATTTCTTATCACCAGCAACTAAAAGCTGATTTCTACCCTAACCTAAATGATGAAATCCTTTTTAAGGGTTGAAAACTCAACCCTTGACAACGGGCATTCTAAGAACAGCACTGACTGGCATAGTAAAAACAAGTGTTTTGAGAATTTATTTTTATTTCTGGTTACAAAGTTTTTAATCTGGTGGCACTAGAAAGAAGACAATCTTGAAGAATTCCAAATTTCACTGTCTTCAGTAGCTTTTAATATCTGATTAACAACTATTTCAGGGCCACATACTGCATTACTGATGTATATTCTCATGATTTCTGAAGGCCTCCAGAGGCTCTAGTGGTAGAGCACTAATAGAAATTGATAACCTATTTGCTTTTAAGTGAGTATTGAGCTGCCAAGCTCTGATCACTGTGGAGATTACTCATTTTCATGTGTTTCCCGATTAACTTCAAGGTACTGTGTAAAAATCTTCCTTTTTCATTTGACTCATGCCTGACTAATGTAGAAGACCAAGTGGTTTATGCAGCTTAAGGAACTTTTATGTTTATTAACTTGATACCTGTTGATTGAACCATTTTCTATGGGTCCATAGAAATGAGATATTTTATCATTATTATAGAAACTTTTTCAGCTTGGTTGACAAGATATATAAATGAATAAATATTAAGCAGCAATTTTATGAAATTAAAATATTGGCACTTATTGGACTTTAAAACTTTCAGGTCAGGTCCTGAAATATCAGTGGCCAATGGCTGACTTTCTTCCCCTAACTACATCTACTCCAAAGTTCACTTCATAACTTCCAATCCTTTTCCAATGATGGAAAATCAACCTAACACTTGTCCTGTTGTATTTTCTCATACCCCTTAGTCCCTTCCAAGGACACTTACAATCTTTCCTGCCTTTTAATGACTGCAAATTAATTCCATACTGGTCAATCCAATATGCTTGCTCTGTTCCCTCTTCTCTTTATCCAACTCCTTTATTTTTATGTCTTATAGGATTTTTGCTTAATCATCTCATAAGAATCTTTAAAAGATCCTTTCCTTATAATTTTCTTCTTTCCTTTCTCTTCATTCCATTGAAAAGCTAAAACCAAACCCTATCCATGGGTATTAGGCAGTGCTTTCAAGGTAACAACAGCCAAGAAAAGATGTAAGTCTTAAGTGATATTAAGCACAATGAAGACAAAAGAGAACTAATAGTTACTGAGCACCTATGTACTAGGCACTAGGTTATCTCAGTTAATAATCCTCACTATAATCTTCCAATGTAGTTATAATTACTTTCTACATCTGAGAAAATTCAAAGTCATGTTCTAGGGAATGGAGCAACTATTATTTCTACTGACCTTTACCTGAGTCCAGAAATTTATTTTCTCCCATTTCTTTTGAAAGAACCCAGGAGTAAATTTCAGAATCTTCTAAAAGTCTCTATTGATTAATCTATGTGTCTTCTAGTCAATAGGTTCTTTATTAAATATTCCTCATTTTCCTCTACATAAATATGCATTGTCCTGAAGCATCAGTATTCAAAATAAACAGCAAAAATATTTTATTCAGTAGCATTAGTTTTGGTTTTAATTATAATTTAAAAGCACTTGAAAAAGTGCTTTTATTTCTTTTTATTATAAATATGTACCTTAAAGATACATTAGGGTGCTGGTGGCTCCTGCCTGCAATCCTAGTTGCTTGGGAGGTTAAGATCAAGAGGATCACAGTTCCAGGCCAGCCAGGCAAATAATTCCCAAGACCCCCATCTTCAAAATAACCAGAGCAAAATGGACTGGAGGTGTGGCTTAAGTGGCAGAGTGCCTACTTTGCAAGAGTGAAGCCCTGAGTTCAAACCTCAGTCCCATACACACACACAAAAATACATTATGGTATAAAGAAACTCTTGGGTATGCTTTCAAAAAACAAACCCATAACTTACAAAGAAAGTTCCAAATTCTAAACAACATATTTATAAATAAACTTTTGAAAAACACAATCTATTTATCTTCCTAAGAATTATTATTATT